CCAAGCAGCGCACTCTCCAGTGTGCCACCGGGCCGGCCCAAAAAAAGAGAAATTTTAAATGTATGAAGAAAATATAGGAGAATACCTTTAAGACACTGAGAAAAGGAAAAATTTGAAACACCAAAGACACAAGTTATAAAGAAAAAGATAAATTAAAACATAAAACTTGTCTGGTGTGAAAGACATCATAAATAGTCACAGATTGGAAGATGTGTCTTCAATGGATGTACTTGACTGTGAGTCAGGATCCAGAATTGTGATGCACTCCTACAAATTAACGAGGGAGAGACAAATAACACAATGGCAAAACTTAACAGGGGGTTTACAAAAGTGGAAATGTGAAAGGCCAATGCTCCTGAGCTTAACTTGTCTGTAAGCAAGGGAAAAGCAAATTAACAGAAGAGATACCCCTGGCTCTGCCTGACAGGCGGAGGGCCCACAAAGGCCAGGTGGGGGGCAGGATCCCTGCCCCACTGGACAGATGCCGGCTGCGGCCCGTGGAGAGCCCTCCTCTGCAGATGAACTGGAAGGCGAGGATGCACGTGCCCTTCCTATGGCACTTTTGCCCCTGGAACATTCCCACTTTGTTTATTGAGCACCTACTGTGTACCAGGCACTGGATGTGGGTGGGATGGGGGCGTACAGCAGCTGTCAAGGCAGAGTCCCTGCATCGTGGCTCTTACATTCCAGGGGACACCAAGTAAACAAGCAAACATATAACAAGTGTGGTGGTCAAAGCTCTCAGGAGAAAAGTGAAGCAGGAAAAGGGGACAGAGATCAGAGGACAGGGGAAGACCGGCTCAAGATCAGGGTGGGGCTGGGAAGGTTTCCTTTACGATGACATGTGATCAGAATTCCAAATGGAATATCTGGGAGAGGAGCTTTGCAGGGGGTGCCAGCTGGAGGTGGGCATGAGGTAGGCCGGGGACCCAGGACCCTGCGGAGCTGGGGTGCAGGGGCAAGGGAGGTAGTGTTGGACGTGGGGCTCCATGGTGGCAGGGGGCAAATCCTGAGTTTGTTTACAAAAAAGGAGGAACAAAGAAGAAATTAGAACTAGTCTTACTGCCCATCAGTGGGAGAAAGGATAATTAAATTGAGGCAGATTGTAAAAGTGAACGAAGAAAACTTAGAGGACAACCACCAAGGACAAATACAAACACCAAAGCAGAGTGAATGGCACAGGCTTTGCAAGGTCACGTATCATGTGATGGTGTTAGCATGAAGTTAAAGACCTCCACAAGGCGCTGTGTGTCACCAGGGATTCACAGACAGAAAGGAAAACTGTAATGACCAGGAGGGAGCGGGGCTGGAAAAGGGCCCCGAGGGCTGGAGCGCCCCTCGTGACTCCTCAGGTTGGGAACATGGCAAACGCACAGAGGTTTCTTATGTAGTCTCTCTTAATTTCTGTCTAAAATGTTTCTTAATGTTAAAAAAAATTTTAAATAAAGTCTGTGAACCACTCTGGGTGGACAGAACAAGAAGAGGAGGCTTGCCTGTTAAGTCCTAACCCGGTTACTGGCAATTTGAAAATGAACATAGTTACACAATGAGAAAATAGAGTCAATTCCTACTTCCCCCGTCTTCTACAGCAATCCTGGCAGCAGGACCCAGGAATGCACCACTCACGGCAGAACAAGAGAAATGCCTGAACCTCAGCTCCAACTCCAGCCTCCGGCTGGGGAGTGACACACCACTGAGGGACCAGAGCTGGCGCAGTGGAGCTGCACCCCACAGGCCCTGGCCACACCCCTGGAGGCCCGCAGCAGCCCACCCCCCGCCCAGCTGGGACAACCAGCGTGTCTCCTGGGCACCATCAGCCCAGTTGAGAAGCACTGGCCGACTCTCCCGAAAGGACCAGGGAGGGTCTGCAGCCTTCCTGCACGACGCAGCTCACTAGCCTACACGTCCCCAGACGGCCCGTGAAAGACTGTGTCAGAATAAAAGTGATTAAATTTTCCTGCTTCCCACAGCAAAAGTTTCTCTTGCTTCCTCATACTCCAGTTAATTCTTATTCTCTCCTTTTCAGCTGAGAGTGTCGGCACCTGCTCACCTGCCACCGAGGGCAGTTTGTGCTGTCCTGGGGGCAGAGGATCCTGGAACACTGGGAAGACACGTGTGGCGGCAGAGCCACAGTGAGGGCCACCGTGACTCACCTATGAGAGAGTTGAGGGAGGAGTAGGAGCTGACGCGGCGCATCTTGTCAATGGTCTCGAAGGACAGGATGTACTCCTCATTCTCGGGGCTGCCCAGGGTGCTGCTGGCACTGCTGCTGGTGCTGAGGTTCCCGGGGGAGAATGCCACTGAGCTGCTGGCTGCAGACACGTAGGGCAGGAGGTCGGTGTGCGGCTCCAAGGACCCTCCTTTGGTCTTACAGTGAATGATGTGACTGAAATGTGTATTTCCTTCTAAAGAGGAAAGCCCACCACACCCATACATGCACATACATGCAGTCACACACACCGAACTCCTCTGGAGCCAGGCTCCCTGTCTGGAGATGATGGGTCACTGGGAGGCCAGGGAGCAGTGGCCTCAGAGCAGCTGCTGTCTCTAGCCGCACCCACGTCTCTTGCTGAAGGCCTGGGAGGTGCCCACTGGCTATTCTGGTTGCAGAACTACAACTTCTTGGCTACACTCATGTCTGGAAAGAAGACTACAGACTCAAGGGCGACTGGCTAATGACCATGTGAGCAGATGGGACTTCAGGACATGCATTTATGACAGTGAAAGGGGTAGGGCACAGTGGTACTTGTTGAGATAAGAAGTTTTAGGAGATAAAAACCCAAACTCTTGCAACCCAAGTACCCAGTTCCCAGTGTCTCACATTCTTCCGTCAAGCTCAGGTTCTGCAAAGATTTGTTCAGGCTCCTTGCTGTGGTGACAGCTCGGATGTTTCCGTAGGAACTCACAGAGCGAAGTCTGGGGGTGCACGGGCTGTCTCGTACTGGGGTCAAGCTCCCTCCCTCTAGGAAAGCAGAAGAGAGAGTTAATGACGGGCTTCAAGATGGAAGGACAGTGCATTTCCTGATCGACTGCGGCTATGACAATGGATGACAGTCGCTGCTACCTGGACAGGAATGAATGTAACAGATGGGGCCTCGTGGCTCAGGAAGAATCTGACATGAGTGTTGAATTCAGCATGACAGGGCCAAACAGAGCAACGACTGAGTGTAACTCTGTGAATGTCAAATTATAGAAGGCAGCAGGGAACAGGATGGTAACCGTGGCCTCACTGAGTGCACACGGGTGCTTGGCGATGCGGGACCTGGCCACTGCCCTGGAAGGGACTGCAGAGCGATGCCTGTAGCACTTGGGGACACCGGCAGGACCCTACCCACTGGCTGTTTTCATTCATCTCCCTTCCCTGAGTGACTAAAAGAAAAAATGCTTCCTACTGACCACGAGCCCTCTTCACTGCAGAGCGGGCTGTGTGCTAGGGGTGGGGGCAGTCCCAGATGATGAAATAAAAATGTGAAAGATAATTGTATTCTCCAGCAAAAAGGACAAATGTGAGAAAAGGAGCTTCCTGCCATGACTCACCGAGACATGAGCCAACCACAACGTGACTGAGTGACTCACTGCAGGAAGACGGCTAACACTCTCTTCTGCAAGCCCCCACTGCAGTTTTGCCATCCTTCAAGATTTCCACGAATTTGATTTCCAAAAAGGGTAAAAAGGAAGGAAAAGAGTAAGAGGGGCAGTGTGGCCCCTTTCCGTTCTGCTAAATGCCCGAGAAAACAGGAATAACAGGGACCATGCAAGGTGGGTATCTGAGAGGCCTGAGCGTAGACCTGGCAAAAATGAGTGACCACGGATTGTTCTGCTGAGGGCCTGAGCTCCTGCTAGGGCCGTGAGCTGGGTGACACGTGCACACGTCCGCAGAAGACGCCGCCATACCTGTGGCGGCTGGAGACGGCAAGGGGTAGTTCTTCTCCTCTTCCATGAACTGCAAGGCCACGGTGCAGAAGTTGCTCTCATACTGAACGACGAGGTGACTCAGAGCCACCACCAGCTCCTGCCGGGAGCGAGAAGGACAACACTCACTGACTGGAGTGGCGGCGGTGACCTGTGCCCGTTCACACCAACCACGTGAGTCACTGGGAGGAAAAAGGAAGGTTAAAGCAAAACTCTGGAATCGGTCTAGAAACAGGGGCTGTCCCTTTTCAGCCAGCGTGAGCAGGAGCCTCGAAACAGGCACAGCGTCGTCAGGACACAGGGCTGCTGGCTGGGGAAGGACCTCCAAGGCGTGCCCAGGACACCTGCCCGAATCTCCTTACTGACCGCCTGGTAGGAAAGGCGCAGCTGGGGCACTGCAAAAGGACGTGAGAATAAATCACACACCTCCGGAGGAGAAAGCTGAGACACTGCACAGCCTCTCAGTTATGATTTATACCGTGACACTGAGCACGCAGAGGGCAGAACACACAGGACAAACTGAAGCTCACTCCTTCTTTCAGATGCAAACTTTCATAGACACGTGAGGGACTTCAAAAAGCTCACGGAAGAGTCACATTATCTTTTTTTTTTTTTTCCTTTTTGTCTTTTTTCGTGACCGGTAACGGATCGCAACCCTCAGTGTTGCGCCCGTACCAGACCGGGACCGGCAATGGGATCGCAACCCTCAGTGTCGCGCCCATACTGGACCGGGACCGGCAACGGGATCGCAACCCTCGGTGTTGCACCTGCACCTCGCTCAGCCAGTGAGCGGGAACCGGTCTGTATGTGGGATCCGAACCCTCAGCGGGAGGCGCCACCGCGCTCCCAAGCGGCGCACTGTAGCAGTGCGCCACCGGGCCGGCCCAATCACATTATCTTTTAATCCTATTTCTCCACAAACTTTTTGAAGTGTCCTCATATTAGTTTCCAGTCCCTAAGAGGGAACAAGAAAAGTTCTATAATTAAAACATGATCTTTAGGGGCCAGCCCGATGGCGCACTGCTATAGTGCACCGCCTGGGAGTGCAGTGGCGCTCCCGCCAAGGGTTCGGATCCCACGTACAGACCGGCCGCTCACTGGCTGAGCGAGGTGCGGGCGCAACACCGAGGGTTGCGATCCCATTGCCGGTCCCGGTCTGGTACGGGCGCAACACTGAGGGTTGCGATCCGTTGCCCGTCACGAAAAAAGACAAAAAAAGGAAAAAACAAAAACAAAAACCATGATCTTTAGGCCCAAATACCTCAGGTCCAAGGAAATGGGTACAGTTTTCCTCTCTTTTGGGACAGTTTGGTGCTGTAATACGAGCACTTGGAGACCCTTAAGTCACAAGGAAACATAACTGGAATGTAGGTGTATAAAATCTAAAGTAATTCTTTTTTCCCACCACTGTCCAGATAGTCTCAACAACTTTATCTGCCTGTTTTTAAATTAGCAGATAGTTCAGGTCGGCAAGAGAGCCCCTCGCTTGCTACATGAACCCTCCCTGCCCCCCGGAGGCCAGGTAAACATCTGCTGAGGTGCTGAGGGCTCTGCAGTGGCCAGAGGAGCCAGGCTCTGCACGGGCGTCCACCAGAGTCCTCTGATCCCACCTGGGGTCCCTACTCTCCTTCAACCCTCTCTCCCACCCCAACCTCATGCACTCCTTGGCCCCCTCCTGTCCCAATGTGGATCCCGCCCCCCACATTCCAGGATGGCCTTTCTGCTGGCTCTGTATCTCCACCCGAGTGCTCACCACACCTCAAACTCATCCCACCCCATCATCTGCTGGGCCGTCCCTTTCTATTCAGCCAGCAACCTCTCTCTTGGTTTGTGCCCATAAGCCACAAATCTTTATTGCTCAGTTAGAGCCTTGGCACAACCCTCCACCCATCCTTTCCCACCCCTGGGTGCTGAGACTAACTGCACCAAGGGCCACTGACAACACCCGGGTCTGGCTCTTGTCCCCAACGGCCTAAACCAGTGTCCTAGGCCCCAGCGCCTGGCCTACTTCACCTGCATTGAAACGGACGTGTTACCAAAGTAAACTCCATCAGGACTCTTCCAGGCAAGATTTCCCCCTTTCCCTCTGATGTAAAGTGAAAAAAGCTAGTGCCAGGCCCTGAAACAGATTAACTACCACCTACGTCTGGGCCTTGTGATAAAGGGAAGCCCATCTAGGGTGAGTCCTTTATTCAAGAGCACGGCTCACACGCAAAGGCATTTCCTGCTGGAGATGGCAGGTCTCACGGCCACCTGGCACAGGCAAAGGGCTCTCCCTCGCATGTGACAGTCCTTCCCAAGTCAAGCTTTCCTCTGACAACAGAATATAAATGTACTGACACTCTTTGGGCTGTTCACGTAGGACGTATCAGGAGGTCTGGCAATGGTGCCCAGCCCTGGAGCATGGAAGCTTCCTTTACTCTCAGCTTTTGCAGGAGGACCAACACAGGAGCCTTAGCTTGTGTAGACACTTTACCTGTGGCCCGTGTGCTCCCGACTGCCAGGTTTCTGGGTCTGCAGACCCATCGCTGGTCAGAGGTGCAATTGTCCTCCTCCTGCCTATGGAGGAGGCCTCACTCAGAAGGGACGTGGCCTCTGCTCCAAACGCTCATGGCCCCTGGTCTACTCAGCTCTTCCGCTTGGCTCTCTATCTCCAAGCTCCACGAGCCCCCAGTCAAACTCTGGCCTCACCTTAATGCTTGCCTACTTCAGTAAGGAGCCACTCTGCTCTTCTGTTGCTCAGATCGAAATCCTCGAGGCCACACTTGCCCCTCCTCTGTGCCCATCTCCCTCTCGAGCAGGTCCCATCAGCTTAGCTTTCACAGTGCGCACCATCCCCAGAGCCCACGCTAGCAGCTGCTCTTGCCTGGGTGTCCTACCTGGGCATCTGGCAGCCCTTCATGGTTGGGAGAAGCTTCCCACCTTTCTCCAAACCTCCAGGCTGCCTGACTGCATGGGATGAACCTGGCCTGGCCACCTTCTCAACCGCCCCTTCTCCTGCCTCTCTTCCCACACCCTCTGATCCCACACGGCCCCTGCACTGGGCCTTTGCATGTGCTGCCCACTCTGCCTGGAAAGGGCTGCCCCACTGTCCCTGGATCACGCTCACACCTCACTCAGCCTCTGTTCCATCGCCACCTCACCCTCTCCCTCACAGGGGCTCCCTCCAGATGCGTCCCACCTTCCCCCTGCTGTGCTTTTCCTCCACACATGACTCAGCCTGACACGCTGCATTCACCCCAGCTACAAGTGCCATTTCTCAGGGAGGAGCCTGCTCAGCACGCTGTTGGGCCACCGATGCCCAGACAGGCCCGGCACCAGGCCATGCTTCCTAAGTGGCTGCTGAGTGGGCGGAGCCCTCCCCCAGGGATGCTGCCGTCTTATGAGCGAATTGTCCTCGGGATCCAGGGGCATCTTGCTTGGGCACAAGCACTTCCCCGAGGGGAGAGTCAGGTCACTGCTCCTCTGTGGCTGACACGGAAGGTCAGGCCATGCGCCTTGCGGGGATGACACATCTGGACTTGGAGCTCACAGCCCACCCTGTCTCTGCCCCTTGCTCGTCTGCCATGAGAGCTGCTCTCACTCCATGGTTCCAACAACAAGTTACTAGTGTTTATCTTGTGAGCCACAGTCATGTGGTGCCAACTCAGCCCCTGTTGCCCCTGAAGGACTGAGCAGTATTCCAGGGACGTGAACCTGCAGACATGAAGGTGCTCCCCTGTGGCTCCACCAGAGACCCAGGGCCAGCACTGATGGGAAAACAGCCCCGGACACATTTCATCAGCTTCATTTTGAGTCAAATGTGGTGAAGGGAGGTGGATGGCTGGGAGCTGTGCCATGGAGTGGAATGGGACCCCCATGAGTCTGTGGTTATGAAATACAAATCAACATCAAAGACAGATGACACATCTGAGAAGTTCCTGTCCTTCTGCCTACAGTCAGCGAGAGCCAGCTCAGGACCCGCGGGGCTGTCACTAGCCTGTACCCCGGTCTGGCTCTTCTGATGAGGTAGCGTGGCTGCTGGGTGGTTTGCAGATTTTGTACATCATGGACACGGTGAAGTTGAAAATAATCTGGAAAGCTGATTTGAATTTGCTGACTTTTTCATTTTGTCTGGAAAGCTCATTAAACAAGTCAACAACAAAAATCTACCTGCTATCATCACCACCTTATCCAGGAAAGGATACGTTTATTATTTAAAAAGTAGGATGGATGCACTCTTTTTTAAATTGAAAACTCACTTTGTGAAAAACCAGCTATAACAGCCTGTTTTCCTCACGCTGCCACGAGGTGGTGAGCTCCCACAGTGGCTCGTGGACTGGCACCTGTTCATGCTTTCTCTGCAGCCACGGCCATGCTCTGAGCCCCAGTGTTGAGTCACAATGGGGCCCCACATGAAAGGATAGGTGGCAAGAGGAGGCAGGTTAGCTCTCACGGGCGCGACGCCCAAGCCTGTGAAGCTGTGAGGTGCTCGGTCCCCTGGACTGGCGGGCTTGTGCCCTAGTCCCCTCACAATGCTGGAGAATCTCGCCACATGTTTCTTAATGAAGAGACGGAAAACCAGTGCTAATTGCAACAGGATCCTGTACGGAGAGTGAAAGCTCACCTTCTCGGATCCGTGCCCAAGCATCACCTCCTCACTGAGGCCTTCCCAGGCCACCTGCTGCATTCTTTCTCCAGCTCCTGCCACCCCTGTCTCCAAACATCACTTTGTCACCTTAACTGGCCTGTTGCTGGCTGCCTGTCTCCCCGCTGGAACGCAAACTCCTTAAAGGCAGGGAGCATTCTAGTGGCCAACATGGTACCTGATGCATGGCAGACACCCGAGAGATCCTTGTTGGAAGAATGGATCTTGTTGGAACAGATCTGCAAGAACCAAAGCACCTTTTGCAGAGGCGCTGTCCTGACACATGGGGCCTGGGCATGAAGATCCACCACCCTCCAGCCTCACTGTCCTTCCTGCCCACTCAATGGTGCAGCCCGTGGACGATGGCAGCCCCTGGGCACAGCACTGTCTGTCCTGCCCTGGGACCTTCCCACGCGTGGCTCATGCTTATCCCGCTCTCTTCCTGCTCACGGCCCTGGCAACTTGCTGCTCATGCTCCCTAACCAGGGTAAGTGCTGCCTCTTCCCAAAGCCTCTGCTGACCTCCCTTCCCACTATGAGGTGGGGCAGGCACCACTCTGACAAGTCCCAGAGAATTCCGGCCCCCACTCCGAGGCAGCTCATTTACAAGTGCTTTCCTATAGCTAATTGTCAGTTTTGTATCTGCCTCTTGGACCAGACTGTGGGCCCCTGGAAGACAGTCTGCCGTCTATTGCGATGCTCTGGGGCCCAGTATGTGGCAGTGCGTGTGTGCCAAGCCAGGAGTGGATGCACAGACAAGAGAGAAGCCCTTCTCAGTGCTCCAGAGACAGCTGTGCGTCCTGACACCCCACGATGTTCTAGTGCAGCCCCTCAGGCATGCATGTAAACACCAGAGCACCCATGGGAAAGACAGGGTCACATTTGAGCATTCTAGTGTCCAGGACCCACACTTGGCAAAGGGGCAGTGAGGGGCACCAGCCAGGAGCAGATGCCCAACCCATGTAAGGATGCACTTGAGGGTGGCCCCCGAGGCTTCGAGAATGCAGACACCACTCTCCCCGCACGGGAACCCAGAGAGACAGTACATTCAACACCCTTCCTATTTTTAAAATTGCTTCTGGAAAGAAGCATAAAAGGTTTCCTTACTTTAAAAAGAATCTTAACAGACATTAAGAGACCCTGTTTTGCTGCTGCTATCAGCGACACCCCCTCAGGGGATGTGACGTAGGAAAGGTAGGACTCGGTGTGGGCTCAGGAAGCAAGGCTCGGATGTACTGCTGATGACAGGAGAATGATAAGTTAGAACCAATGACAAGGGACCACCAGGACCCCACTGCACATTCCTAAGACTCATTGGAAAATGTGGCACATTAGTGACATGCGAATTTCAGTAGGAAACACAAGATCTGCCACGCCATGTTCTGAGTCTGGCTGGTGTAAACTTCTCCAGATTATGTCCCTCCCAAGTAAGCCAATGGTGTCTACTCCAGATAAACCACACCCCATCTCCTGGTAAGCCCAGTCTCCAAGAGGGACTCAAGTACAGTCATCCTAGAAATGTGAGAGTACAGCCCAGTTTCTAGAGGGTAAGTGTGGACTCGTGGTCACGGCAGGGCAGTTCTGCTTTCCTGCCTTTCTAATAAAACACGGTGTTTTCCCCCAGTGCCCCCTCTTGGCTAGGGTAGGGTGGTGGCATCTAGGCTGTGTGGAGCCAACCTTGTACAGAATGTGAACCCTGAACAACGGTCTGTGACACTTCTGCATCTAAACAGGTAAGTGAACGCTCAAGCTTATAAGACTGCTTCGTCTATGGCTGACAGACACAGGGTGGGAGGGGACATGTTACCACCCTCTCCATCATCTGTGGGCGGCTGCCGCTCTTGTGAATCATGATGATGTGTGTGTGTGTGTTGCTGCCGGGCAGGAAGAAGCCTATTATACAAGCTGCCAGGAGACGCAGACTGTTAAGTGCCTTCAAATGAAGCAAACACATGAGTATCTGGTGAAGAAACGCATTTTGGAGAGAATTAACAAACATTTAAAGGTCTGCTCTCACAATGATGCACATGGGTGGAACGTGAGTCCTCACTGCCATGGGCAGAACCGCACCAGCTCAGCACCTGGGCATCACGCGACAAGCCAGGGGCACCCTGCTGGCACTGGGTGGGCTGGGGGCTTGCCTACCTTGCGGACCATGGGGCTCCCATCGTTGATCAGCTGGGCCAGCATCATGGCCACATTGTGGTCGATGGTGGTGGAGTGGTCTGTCCTTTCCGCGGAGTTGCCCACAAATGTGCCGAGGGCAAAGACCGCCGCACAGCGCACCTGCAAGGCAGGGGACAGGGAATCACAGTCATGCCCAGAGCTGGCTGTGTTTGGTGTCTGCATTTCTGCCAGGGCTGCCTGCAAGTCAATCCTATTCAGTTCAGAGAGGCTCAAGTCAATTTCACAAGTGCTTATGGGACAGTACTCTAGGCCCAGAGCTACGCTCTACTGACAGCACAGAAACAGGGAGAACGATGCCGGGAAGCAGGAGGTGGCGGCATGCCCAGCCCAGCTCCAGGAGCTGATAAGCAGGCTGTGGGGTGGGAACTGCATTTCTTCTGGAATTAAAAGACTAAACCATGGGATTCTTCCATGGATGAGACAGAAGTTCAGGGGAGGGGGCAGCGAGTGGGGAAGGCCTGGACACCCTCAGAGGCAGAGACGGTGCGAACGGAGCCCAGCGTGGGCTGACTCCGTGGGGCTGGCAAGGTGGCAAGGGGAATGACCTTGGGATGGCTATGGCACTGGGGACCTGGGCTCAGCTCTCATCCCCAGCACCGTGGGATCCTGGGGGAGACGGTGGCCTTGCCAAGTTTTGGCTCATCACCAAACTGAGCAACGTAACACATCCTGCACAGGACTGGTAGGAAGAATCACAGAACCGAGTGGGACAAACCCCAGAATTTCAGTAGATGGTGGCTGTGTCTCAAGCACGGGACAGTGAGTGAGCGCAGACGGCTTGTACGGGGTTGGTGGCAAACACATTCGCACTGATTCAGAGCCTCGTGCTGTAGAATGAGAAGGGTCCAGGGTTCCCAATCCCAAGCTCATGCCCCTCATTCTGCCAGAGCCATGACCAGACAGCGAGCTCCACCTCCCGAGAGGGCAGCCCTGCCCACGACGGTGCTGCTGTGGTTTTCTCTCTGAGCACCTCACCATCTCATATGAGTCCATCGGACTCAGTCATTAGCACGGGGGCTGCTTTGGGCTCTGCTGACTGTTTAGAAAAATTAATTCTGCAGCTAGAATTAGTCCTGATGAGCAACCAAAAGCCACCCAG